TTATTTTTATTTTGAAATTTCGCAACACACTGCATGAAACCATTGCCGCGAACGTTATCGTCTCGATAGTAACTACCGCTTCCGCTACGTGGCGCCAGCATCTGTTATATTGCGCTCGGAAATTTGAATTACAAATTTGAAGCTTCTTTTAAGCATGTTTAAATGTCTTTTATTTTTTACGACAGAAAGAACGTTCTGCTTGGATATTGTTGCTATTATTATTTGAGAATAATGTTTTTTTTTTCTTTGGAAAGGTCAGTCACTTTATCAAGTAAATTTTGTACAAAGTATAAAATAACCTGACTTTTCAAAAAAGGCAAGAATGAGAAAATTGATTTATATTTGCCACGAATCATTTTATAGTATTGTATAATGTATTTTTATCACAATATTTATTACTACTACTAATTTCACTATTTTTTTAAATAATTATTTTGCAGTTACCATTACCTATTACTATTTTTTAATAATAGTAAATATTCTGATGATATTTCCTTCTCTTTCAGGATACTCCTGTTCCTGTCCGCCATTTGAATGCATGTGTGGCCTGCAGACGAACGCCTCGGCTTATCAGCAATCTCATCATCATCATCATCATCATCATCATCATCATCAGACAACCATGTATCCTCAGCAAGCAGCCCCGAACGACACCCCGTACTGGCTCCAAGACACCGTGCCATCCCAAGAGAACGCTCTGGGATACAATCTGGCCAACGAGGTGCCCCATGAAGCCTCCTATCCCGATTTTCCCTCGTTCACCGGAGAACTGCTCCAACCGGAAGAGATCTTCCAGCTGGACCAACCCCTCAGACCAGAGTTCACGATGAATTCTCAAGAAGTGGCTAGATCACCGCCTACGTTGCTCGATCTTGGAAGCGGTACGATTAAATACGAGATGAAACAACATCAGGATCAAGCATATTGGAACCAATTTCTCAGCGAAGATTCTAGCAGCAGTCACTTGAGCATGCCCCAGGACGACCGGCTTCAGTTTCCTGGTTTCGAGACGGACAAAGACTCCAATGGCTTCTGCGTCAAGAGACCCGTGAACCATTTCGTATCCAACAAGGAAGTGAACCAGAATCACCACTTGAACAATCCGTTGAACTTCCAAGACTACCAACGACACCAGAATCACAAGAGTTTCGTGGACGGGCCGGTGAAGAACGACCAAGAGGCGAACTATTGGGCTCAGAGTCATCAGGACGATCGTTTGAACTTCCCTGGCTTCGACCATCACAAAGAGGAGGATCTGTTGTCGCCTAGAAGAGACGTGAACTGTTTCCCCAAGGAGAATTGTCAACCAGGGTTAATCGACCGGGGGAATTACAACATCTATCCTAAAAAGGAGAACGGAATGGTCGATCCCGTTCGCCCTAGTCGCAGCCCCATGGAGACCAAGCATTATTCCTACGACGGCTACAGTCAGATGTTCGAGCAGTCGGACGGCAAGAGTCAGTTGACCAATCGTTCTAATCAGAACACGAACCGAATGGTTCTGGACGAACGATTGCAGAATAATTACGGCCGTGAGACGAATCCAGACTCAACCGAGAGATTGTTCCCAGACTCGAACGGCATGGAGGCGGCCATGCCAGCGCAGAACAGTCCGGAACCTTTCTTCTATTCTAGTAACGATCGTTGTCATTACACTTGCGAGGTGCTTGACACCCGGTTGCCCCAAATGCCCATGGCGAATCCGACAGTCGCGCAATCCGCTATGAATAATTACGGCGACGTCAGCGAGTTGGATCTACCACCTTTCGTTGATTACACTCTCGTAGGCATGCTGTGCTCCACGGAGGAGGACACGTCGACTTTATTAACCGGCTGTCCCCAAAACGGACAGAACTACGTTCCCCATCATTAGACCCTCCCGATCACCATCTTCGTTTGTATCATAAATACGAAATATACGATAGTTGCGAGTGTCGTGCAGTTTTGTTTCCCACCCGTCGATACCGTGACGGCGATTCCCGCGAACTCCGAGAGATCAGTTTCTCTCGACGAGGACACGCTGTAACTTACGTTGAACTGAGAATTTCGAGCTGTTATTTAAATGAAGGAAATAAAGGGATTTTTGTTAACAGGAAATTCTACAGGTGATTGTACAAATATACCTAAGTTCTTCTGTTCCGCTTTAGTTACCGAGAGTATTTTTCGATTATTCAGTCTTGGCTCACTCTGGCCGATATAATTCGTCTTGTCGTTTTATTTTAATTTTTTAAGATTCGTTTCAGGATCGACAGTAGGCGGGAAGATAGCAGGGTTCAAAGCACACGAGTCGAAGTAGCTTGGAAAAAAGTCACGTGGTTTATTCGTAATTTTTATTTTATTCGTAACAGATACTCTCACGATCACAATTGTATGTATATTATGTAATATTATCATATATCTATTTTGCGTTACACTTTCTCGGATTACATGCGCGATATTCGTTCTTTTTTCTTATTTTTATCATTCTTTTTTTCCTTTTTTTGCTTTTTAATCCTTTTTTCCATCCCTCTTGAAACAGGCGCGAAATACCATCTTATCGGCGTTCGAGTCGTCGATATCCGTTCATTTCCTATTCCGCGTTGTTTCTTTTTTCTTTTTTTTTTTTTTTCCACAAGCGGCGAGCACAAGGGAGACGAGAAACGAAATCGGGTGCGAATCCGGTCGCGTGCATCGCCGAACGATCAACGAAAAATCCGAAATCCGCCTGCTCTATCCTTTGTTCGCTCTATCCGTTTCATCGTCGTCGTCGAGCTCCGCTGCCGGAGAAGAGAAAGGGAAACGTTGGAGCGACGAGTCACTATAAATCGCTCAACGTTCGTGTTTTTGCAAAGCGTATATCTACTATCGTGGACCGGCGTCGACGACGATTCGAGAAGAAAGCGGAGATACAATCGCGCGATCGATTGTAATCGAAAAAAAAAAAAAAAAAAAAAAAAAAAAAAAAAAAA